AAAATATTACTGAAATTTACTCAAGAACAGGCAAAGGATTCCAGAGGTGACCTATTAAAATACCACTATGAAAAGCTACGGATGCTATAGTTGGGTACTCTGGTATTCAGCTACAGCCTATAGAATATACCTAAGCTCAAAGGCTAACTAGAAACCAGGAATAGCTGTGTACTCAGACAGTCCCTCTGCCGCTCTTCTCTCCCTCCTCGTCATATGTATGGTCACACACTACTCTATACATTTTATATGGTTTAAAATCCTTAGGACTCCCTTGTGTCCCTTGTATCCTGTCCATAGGCACGAAATGCTTGACTGACTTTCACAGGGTCACATAAATTCTTAGCATCAGAGCTAGTGGTAGAACCCAGGCAGCTAAGGTCCAGAAGCTGCCCTCTTCATCACGCTCTTACTATCTCTCTGTGTCTCTTATGCATGTGAAGTGTGGATGCCCATTTTAAAATGTACTGGGGTAGAGCAAGTAACATACCTTCTAATAATATGTATATAAAATCTGATCTAGTGAAAGCAAATCTATTATTTTCTGAAACCATGAAGCTGTTTCCTGATGAAGAATTTCAGTATCTGGGCCTCCCTGGTGACGCAAGGAGTTCAGATGCAACCTATGAAGTGGTCCACAGCCACTGCAGCATGAGTTTGATCCCCGGCCAGGGAGCTATCCACATGGTGCAGCAGACCTCTCCTGTCTCACCCACTGCTCCCCTCAGCAGTGTATTTCAGTCAGTCTGCCTGTTCTGTTCCCCACTCTGTCTCTGGTGAATCCTCTCGCCCCCACACCTCTGGCCTGTACCCCAGTTCTTGTGTGGATAAATAAAAAAAAACCTTAAAAAATAAAAGAATTTCAGTATCCACTGATAGGAATATGAACTAGGAATTCTTTTTATTGAAAGTAAGTGTGGTTTACACTTGGAGGAATATTTTTTGAATTTATATATATATATATATATATATATATATTTTTTTTTTTTACATCACTGTTCATTTTTAAACATGTTTGCTTTTTTCCACCCTCAGGTGTAGTCCTCATGGAGTTTCCTCCACCAATGCACCTGTGCACCATCACCTCAGTCCCTCTCTCAGATCTCTCTCTCTCCTCCTCCCTGCAGGATGTCTCTGGTTTATAATTGTCTGTTTGTTTTCGTTTTATTGTGTTTTGTATTGTTATTATTTTTTCCCTTAATGTCTTACTTGGTTCCCCTATATTTGAAAGAATACTTTTAAGGCATACATGCTGTTTATAGAAACAAAGATCTTCAAAATTCCTCAGTATTAATCTATGGAATTAAATATAGCAGATGATAAGGATTTCCAGTAAATCATATCAACAACTTTCTTTTTTTAAAACCAAACACTGTGTCAACAAATCATAGTAAGATACCAAGGGGAAAAAAATACAGTTTAGGGAACAAAAACAGAAAACAAAACCAGGATGCTATTATTCAGCTCTGTACTTAGGTTTAACAAGAGCTATCAATCTCTCTTTTGTGAGCACTAAATTGAGAAAGAAAAAAAAGAGAGAGAAAGAAAAATACAGATCAGTCTTCATAACCAGAGGCAAGAAGAACTTCAAATCCTGAAAACCTGAACTGACAATTTGCAGCCTCTGTAACTCTCTGAAGGACTGCATGCACTTCATTCCCTGACTTTTTTCTCCGTTTTTAATCATTTTGCTCTATGGCCGTCCTGACAGGGACTGATAGAGCACAGAGTTCCAGGTGCTAGCAGTTCAGAGGTAAAAGTGACAACTGCACTTTAATCTCTAAATCTTTTCAAATAATTCATTTCTTCCATAAAGCTAGTGCTGTTCAATAGGAGTACAGCACTGCAGAATCTTGAGAGGGGAGAGAAGAAACACAGAAACAAACCCAGAACTTAATGCTGCTTAGTAGTTTGACTTTTTCTTCTTCATTTTTAAAGTTGTTTCTTTCAGGAACAAAATATGTGTTGTGCCCACAATGATCTATTTTTATTTGAGGATCAAAAAAATCCTAACAAGTCACTGTACTTTCACACTGGTAGTAAAGTGATTAGAATAATGGTCATTTATTCAACAAATATTTATCATGTGGTTAATGGGTATTCACACAGTTTTAGGGTTTGATATTCCTAAATAAACCTGAACATATCTATCTCACGGAGCTTTCACTCCAGAGGGAGAAAAAAAATCAACAAGGGAGGGAGCCATCCTCAGACAACGAATGTTCTGATGGAAATAAAAAGCATCCCATGAAAGAGCAGAGCTGGCAGCGAGAGCAACACTGAATTGATCCCTGAAAGATGAGAAGAAGCCATTCTGGGGCAAGTGTCCCCTTGCAGAGGGAACAGCAATTGCAAAGATTCAGAAGATGCTGACAAGAAAGTGGCACATTCCAGGATCAGAGAGGAAAGCCATGTTATCAGGCATGTGAACTAGAGAGAAATGACATGAGATGAAGCAGGAGGAGGCAAGTAAAGGTCTTTTAGGTCCTACTAAAGAATAGGACTATATTCTGGAAAAGGAGACTGCTGGATGTACTTGAGCAATGTAAATATATGATCTTATTTACAATTTTAATTATTTTTAATTGAGGTAACACTGGTTTATCACACTGTATGACTTTCAGGTGTGCAGCTTCATGTCCACATGCACCACACCATGCACACCAGCAGAGATGCCACTTCCATCCACACCCTCCAATTGACCTCTCTTGTCATGCTACCTTCCCGCAACCCCAGCTCCCTCCCCATCTGGTAACTACTGCTCTGTTGTCAGAATCAAAGGGTTTATTTTTGTTTGTTTGCTTTGACTCTTGAAGTCACTGTCTGCTTTTTCCAAGCATGGCTTGAAGGAAAGCTAGGGCAACTGTCAGGAGACAAAGGAGTATTGCAGTCTGGGCAGGACATGATGGTGACTGAAGCTAAGATGGTATCAGTGGAGAGAGAAAGAATCAAGGGCTATTTTGAGTTTAAAAATAATAGAATTTGCTGATACACTGGATGTAAGAAATGAAGACCATCAAAGAATACTTTGCCAAGAGAAATTTTCCAATGAAATTATTTCTGTTGTGCCACAAAGTATTAAAACTCCATTTCATTTTACTTAAAACAATGTTCTAGAAATGAGAAAAACCTAAAATTATGTATGAAATATACCAGTTTCTGTTTTTTAAGTACAGTTTCTGTTTTTGAAATACATATATATATAGGTATCTCCACGATTAGCTTATAGAAGATAAAAGAATGATTTAGTTACAAGTTTAAAACATCAGTTCAGCCTTCAAGTGATAAAGAAAAACAATCTATCACAAGGAAATATTAAGATGAGCTGGTAAGTCTATAAAAATTATAATCACAATTTCTGAAAAGTAAATAAAAGCTTATTTTCAGTCTATAGAGGGATTATGATATACCGAGACATCTTAGAGGTAAGTCTTGTGTTTTAAAGTCTTTATTTCACCTCTGTATTTGTAGTCTTAAAAGGTGGATCTGAGATCCACTATTTAGAAGAAACCCATTTATAAATATGCTAATTGTCTTATTATTCAATTATTTTAATAAAATGTTACAGAACATTCACAGTATGTTCAGGGACTACTTCCCCTCCTTCTTATTAGTCAGCTTTTGACAAAGACTTAAATAACAGGGCCAATAGAAGATGAGGAAAAACTCTGTAAAATTTGTAATTTATTATTGGTCAGGTTAAGTCAAGAAAGAAATTAAAAACCAGCTGCTGCAAGAGCCGAAAACAAATAAATTCAAAGGATAATGCTCTGTCATCCTACAGTCAACAGGCTATCATACTTTGACCAAGACCGAAGTGCTAGAATACCAATTATCACACAAATCAGGTGTAAAACTCTGCTTCATGCTGAGTAACTCCATGTTCCATGTGAAAATCAGCAGGATGTGAACTATTGAGCAGAGTTTTTATGAGGATTATAACTAATGCATGTGAAGTACCTAATGCAGTATCTCACACATAGTACATGCTCACTACAGGACAGCTATCATTTTCCAGAAAATCTAATAAAGTATATAGTTAATCTCAAAATTCTGATTAGCCATCAAATTTCTGTTGCAAATAAAGCATTTTTACTGAGTCAGTTAAAACGTACAAGGATCAGGATTAACCATCTAAAGTGAGTTGATCGTCCTACAGTTCTTTTGATCAAGTAATGGAACCGGATTAGATCTCCTAGGGAATTAATACTAGGCTCCTGAGCCTCTAACACCATCAATTGGTCTCTATAACTCACTGTCTTAGATTCTCTTTGTTCCATTAAGACAGATTTCATTACATTTTTTCCTGCCTATCGTTCTCAAATTAGTTGGAATGTATGCAACAGGAGCATTAGGCCTGGGTCTTACTCATTTTTTTATTCTTAATGCCCAGCAATGCCTGCACAGGAGCAGATGGAGAGATGGATAAATACCTACTGTGACTGCTCAGATAATTCCCCACACCTACACTATGTTATAAAACTGGATTATTTCAGATCATTTGTATAAAAGTATGCTTATGATTCATTTTGCTTACACACACACACACACACTCTCATAATCAGAACAAATTGCACTATTTACTATCACTTAGTTTGCTGAAAGGATATGTAATTGAAAATTTGTCAGTTCTTCCTATGTGTTGACATGTATCTATTTTATCTCTCCAGTTAGGGTGTATGTCCCTAAGGGAAGGGACTGAATCTCACATTTCTTTGGAAAAACCATTAAATCCTGAAACAGAATTGGTTGGCCCTAAGGTAGACATCAGTGAAATCTGTTGAGAATTCACTCTGCATTCTAACCCAGTGGTAAATCCCTGCTGCAGAACATGAAACAATATCTGTGCCTGGAAGCACTTCTAAATACTCAAAAAATATTTCTCTCCTGCAAGATCAAATCTAACATCTTAAAGGGGAAAAATCAAAATTTAAACCTAATTGTGTTGATAATGAAATAAAGTTTTATCAGATAACAAAATCTAAAAGAAGCAGAAACAATACCTTCCAGCACTTTTTTCTCCGAAGACAGTTTAGAAGCAGCAGAAGGTGCCTGATACAAAAAGTCACAGAGAAACATGGACTGGGAGGATTCTTGATTTAACCCAGCTTCAGAATGAATGTCATGCTGAGGGAAATCTAGAAAAATTACAGAAATAGTACACTTGATATCTGAAAGGCAAATAATTTTTCCTCTGCTTATGAATATATAGGTGAGTTTTAGGATAAAAGAAAAAGCAGTTCTAATTTACTACAGAATATACAGAGGTCCTGATTTTTATTTTGCATAAATTTGCAAATAAGTACTTAAGTTGTGTTTATCATTCACATATGAAAATCAGATTTAACTTGGTGAAAGTGATTATGTGGGATTAACTACTTTAATCTTCCATTTAGAAGATTAAAGAAACATAAAAGCTTTATTTCCTGAACTTTTTCTCCAAGTAAAGTTTGGCGCATCCTTTTGGAAATTACAACTTTCTTCACACTGACAAGTTTTCTTTTTTGAGCATTCAATATACTTGTGCTTTAGTTATTTTAGGGCTATAGCAGAAGAGACTAGGAAAATGCAGAGATAGGAACTAACCTGAGAATTTGTTATGGTAGAGAAATTCCATTTGCAGACTCTGCCCAGCCTTCTTGGCCAGCAGGTAGGGGGTGCTGTACAAGGGGTCTCCAGTTGCACACATGACATCTGCTCCACTGAACAGCAAAGCCATTGTTTCCAGAACATCTGGTTTCACTACAGCAGCACACAGAGCCTGGTCATTCAGAGAAAATATACCTTATAAGAGACAAAATCTGATTCTAAAGATTAAAATGAAATTCTGATGATTCATAAAAAGTGGGTGTTTCTTTTTAATTAAGAAAACTTATAACTTGAATTAAACAATAGTCACAAACGTGTAAGAATTTAAATTTGTAAGAATTTAAAAGAATTTAAATTTTGTAAGAATTTAAATTTTGACCCAAGAGGCCCTCCCTGGTGGCGCAGGCAGTTGGGCGCAGCGCTGTGAAGCTGTCCATAGCCTGTGCAGTGCTGGTTTGATCCCCGCCAGCCTTGGAGCAACCCACATGGTGAGCAGACCTCTCCTGTCCTGCCAGCTGCTCCCCTTAGCAGTGTATTTCGTCAGTCTGCCTGTTCTGTTTCCCGCTCTGTCTCTGGTGAATCCTCCCACACATGTGGCCTGCATCCCAGTTCTGGTATAAATAAAATAAATCTTTTAAAAATAAATAAATAAATAAATTTTGACCCAAGAACTATAAGCCTCAATTCACTGTTTTGTTGCTGTGTTGTCCCAAACCTTCAAATCTATCATACTTGCTTTGGAAGACAATTTGTAAGCTTATGTACTATGATAATGGTTAATGCTCAAAAAAAGTCAAATATAATAAGATAAATATAATATGCATTCTGTCATATGAATGTTGTGTGCACGTATATATGTATTTACTTTGAATCTATAAAATCTTTAAATTATAATTTTGCTCTTGGAATTGGACAGATGAATGTAATTTTGAGATCTTTTCTTTTGTAGGAGAAGAGGGGCTGGAGAAGAACAGCCAGCAAGATAAAAGAAAACAACATTATTTACCTGTGTTATATATCATCATTGTACACTAGGAACTTCTGGAGCCCCCTTTATTTTTTGGTTTTTGGTGGATTTTTTTTGGGGGGTGGTGGAGGCTTGAAGTAATGGGCTACCTTTATATATCTTCTCATTCGCTTCCTGATTCCTTACTTAATTGAGTTCCATTTGCTTCCAAACCATTTTGGCATCCTGAGTCCATGTAACTTTTAGCCTTATTTATTCCCTATTTCCTAAGCTGGTACACCTAGTGCATACCTGATTAATTTGTCCTCTTTAATATAAACCCAGGAAAATTGTTGCTTAACTATCCCAATAGGCAGCTCAAAGTATATAGCCAAGAAGTCCCATATTCACAGTTCCAACCATGAAGGGTCACCTACTGAAAAGATGGTTTTCATGGAAAAAGAATAGCACAGTGATTACTTGGTGCTAGGGAGTAGAGGATTTGAGATGCTGTTAAAGGTACAAACTTGCAATAGGAAAATGAAGTTCTGGACATCAAATGTGTAACATAGTCACTACTCCAACAGTAGCATATTATATACTTCAAAACTGCTACAAGACTAGATGTTAAATGTTCTCTTAACAAGAAAGAAACAATAACTATACGATGTGATAGATGTTCAAGCTACAGTGGTAATCATATGGTAATATGTAAATGTATCAAATCAACATTTTAAATTTATACCATGTTTTTATATATGTATTATCTCAATTTAAAAAAATCTATTCAATAAAATATGTTTTTGTAAAATTTATTCAGACATTAAGTGTGTCTTTTTTTTTTCATATGAGGGATTTGTTTTTATACAATGCGGTAAACAACACAATTTAGATGTATAGGGCTATACCTTTCAGATGTGTGTTACCACATCACACACACTACTAAGGCACTCACAGTCCTTCACTACAGTCCACAGAGATGCTCCCCACTTTCCACTCTCCTCTTTCCCCTCTGGTAGACTTCATTCTATAGTCATATTTCCAGGGTTTGCTGCTGGTTTGATCTTCCTGACCCTTTGCTTTGTTTCACTATAGTCCACAGAGAAGAGGCAAAACCTGGTATTTGTCTTTCTCCTTCTGACTTATTTTGCTTAACATAATTCTCTCCAGTTCCATCCATGATGTCACAAGAGCCAAAGTTTATCTTTTTTCATAATTAAGTAGTATTCCACTGTGTGTATACTACATCTTCCTGATCCACTCACTTGTCTTTGGACACTTAGGTTACTTCCCAAAAAGTACCATGTTGTAGAGCTGAATGTGAAAGAAAATCCCCATGGATAGACATCCTTACAATATTCTTAAGAAGAATGCAATTGCCAGGAATTAATGTAAAACCTATGTCTTAGCACATGGGAATGCTTTGGTTGTAGTAGACAGGACTTCATTTGATAATGTCAATATTTACCCACTGACAAGATTCCCATCACCATCAGAAACAGAGAACCCCCTGGGGGAATGTATGCCCTGGTCCTCTAGTCACACTAATTACTTCTTCCAATACACAACTTACTATTTATATACTTTTTCATTATGTGCACACTGGTGCACAGAATTAATCACAATCCTGTTATCATTCCATGAATGCTATAATTGGCCAGATATTTTAATAATGTAATTAGAACCATGAAAAAAAATTCATCCAAAGAAAAATTAAATATTTTACAATGACTATATAGAGATATGGTTTTTCACCCCCTATTCCATCTTCCAGACTCCCCTACCATAGTTACTTATTCAGAATCCTGCATTTGTGTGTGTTATTGCTTTAAAATCATGGTGACCTCTCTTTACTAAAACCTAAGGTGTATAAAAAGAAAGAACTAGTACAGAGGACTAAACAAGCAGAAATGCAAATTACCTATATAAATCTTATAATTTCTAGGGAAGTTTGGAAAAGCTGTTTTTCCAAATATTCAGCATTCTACTTACCTGGAGACCCTTACTTATCCAATAATTACAGCCAAAAAAAGTACAGTACATAATTTAAAATCTTGAAAGAACATATTCTTTAAGTATAAAAGCAACAGGTAAATATCTTAATAGTTATTCATAGAAAAACCTCCTAAAACAAGAAATCAAAGCACCAATTTAAAAAAGGGGAGCAGGATGTGTAACAAATCCTTTTCTACTAAAATCCAAATGGGCAACATAAAAAGGCACAAGCAGATCTGTAATCACTCAAGCAAAGGCAAATGAAAGTTCAGGTCAATGGTATCAAGCAAAATGTTCTTTGCAACAAAAAAACTGAGTAAATGATGTTCAACGGCGCAATGAAATGATGGTCAGTATCCCGCTGCTCCTAATACAGGGAAAGCTGTCTCAACATAAAAGAGTATCCATACATTAGCTTTTCACTTCAGTTAGAGGTAAGGTTTATCCACTACTGATAATGAATTCTTAAGAGAAACAATGGAAGAACCCTTAATACAATCTCACAAAAGGAAATAACAGTAAACAATGTTATCAAATAGAAGAATTTCTTCTTTTCAAAATCCTTGGCATATATTTAAGGACACATTAAAAGCCATGACTATTGCTATGTTTGATCAGTTACCTTATTTAATTCTTCTTTGGTGAGAGATGCCAAAAGGGTTTTTCGGAACCTTCCTTCTTTGTACTTCTGAGTGATAAAGTTTTTTCTCTTTTCTACTGGTGAATCCACTTGTAATTCTTCATCTTTTTTAAGATTACCAGCCCAAAAGTCATTTGCTCTCTTGTTTCCAATGACGATAAAAAGCTGGTGTCAAAATATTATAAATTATATTAGTGCATAAAATGCATTTGAATATGTAGAAAACTATAAATTAGAGCATAACCTCAGTGGAAAATATACAAAAATATATGAAAGATAGTGTGTGTGTGCATGCAACATCAACCTGGGCCTGTCTGTGCATCAGCCCCGTGGGCCAGAAGGACACAGGAAACTAATGGAACCCATAAAGTTCACAGTCCCTTCTATGCAATGCATAATAAAGTACCTAAAAAAGAAAAGAATAAAAGAGTATGCAAACAATTACTATCCCTAGTTTAAATACAGCTTAATTGCTCTTAATAATGGTAAATTATTAGCTAAGGGAAAATGCAAATAATACAAATTGTAGCAAAAACATTATTTTTTTGAAGCTCACACTGACATAGTTTCATTTAAAATGGTTGAGTAGGTGGGCTAAGGTGGTCAAGGAAGGTACTGTCACAAGAAACTGGAAATGAGGAGACAGAAAGTTAGACATGATCACAGTTAATGACAGAGCACGGTCAACATAAAGAATAGTAAATTATGCCAAATTCAGTTTTCATTCATTTTCTAATAATTTATGCATGTTGGGTTAAAAAGAATGTAAATTATGGCTTAAAATAAAGTGATGTCAACACTTTAATTACAGTTACCAATATTAAAGCTCCTTGTACCTTTGGTTTCTAAAATAACTATCTCATTTAGGAGACACTAAGAAAGTTGAAATAAAAATTTACTGCCATCAAGCAACCTGCAAGCCATTTTTATGATATGAGAACTTTATCAAAAAAGTTCCTGAAGTAATTTATGCCACCCACTGTGTGCCTCCTCCCTCTACTGATTTCTCCACTAATCTCCACGGTACCACTTAACGTACCTCGATGAGTTCATTGCTCCAAATGCTGGCATCCATTTTGAGACTTCTAACCTTGGAATCTTTTGGTCCTAAAGATCTATGTTGTCCTGAAGCCAAAAAAGACAATTGCATTTCTCTTTTAATTTATATATAAGTGAATTCACCTTTAAAAAGGTATATCTATATGTATAGATCTTTTCAACTTAAAACACACCAATATCTATTTTTCTTAAATCCAATAGTTCTGAGAGTAGTGGTGGTAATCATACAGAAATAATAACCAACTAGAATGAAGAGAGTAGCAGTCATCTTCATCACTACTCAGTATTAGTAAAAACAAGTAAATTTTATACTTTATTTTAAAATTCCATACATTTTAAAATGCGTACGGGGGAGAGAGAGAGTATGTGCATGTGTATACATACATTTACATGGATATACGGGTGTATGTTCATTGGTATATATGAGTATTTTTTTTCTTCACTGGTAATTGACAATTGGAACAATTTGGAAACGTAGGTCATTGGAAGCCTTCTATAATGGGTCTGTTTAAATCCCATATATGTGAATACAGGTAACTATTATCTTTTAAAAAGAAACTAGGGCCTCTATGGTGGCACAAGGGGTAGAGCACCTCACAATGAAGCAATCCACAGCCTCTGCAGCACGAGTTCAATCCCTGGCCAGCCAGGGAGCAACCCACATGGTACAGTAGACTCCTCCTTTAGTGCCCACTGCTCCCCTGAGCAGTGTATTTTGGTCAGTCTGCCTGTTTTGTTCCCCTGCTCTGTCTCTGGTGGATTCTCTCACCCCCCACACCTCTGGCCTGTGCCCCAGCTCTTGTATGAGTGAATAAATAAATCTTAAAAAAAAAAACCAAAAAACTAGCCACAATTCTGATAAATGTGTACCTAAAATGTGAGGTATATTTTTATTCTGCTATTACACCTGAAAGAAGATAAGAGTCTGAAACTATTATCATCGACTATAAAAAGAGATGTATAAATCATCATTCAGTCTTCGTTAGGCATCCAGGCATATGTCTGTTGCTTTCTTTCTAAATTGAGAAAGTAAAAACACACACCAGACATTATTTTTTGGATCTTAAGAAATTTTTGCCTATGAGCATAAAAGCTCATTCCTCCATCATCATTAAGAGATACATTTCCTCCCTGTTTTGATATGAAAGTAAGCAGAACACAAAGCACTGGGTTTGGGGGCAATAATTTGCAAACTTTTACCTTTTGAAAGATTATTTATTAGCAATACTGAAAACAGTCAAACTTGAAAGCACATAGGAAGAGGTGGAAGGTATTCCTACTATAGCCAAGGCAAGAAATAAAATCATCAGACTTCAGATCCTGAGAAGATAAAACTGATGGAACTTGGCAGACTTTAAGGGAAGTATAATGGTTCAGAAGGTCTCTTGGGAGTTAGGCATAGGTGTTAAATAGATAGTATTGCTTGACATGAGGATTTGGTATATAGGAAAAAATGCACTTTCATGTTGTGAGCTGTGTAGCAAAGAGAGCTCTATTTTTAACATGTTACTTTCGAGGTTAGTTGGGCAAATCCCTATGGAGATTCTAGCAGGTGGATAGAAGAGTATGGTGTCCAACAGAGTAAGAATCATTTGCTTAAAAATGAATGTTAAATTTCAACAATAAATATCATCACTCGGAATTCAGAGTAGAAGAGAGTTGAGAATGCAACCAAAGGAATCAACCTATTTTAGGAGCAGGCTGAGGAAAAGTAACCTGCAAGGGAATGACCAGAGTAATAAGAACACACTAAGAAAATATCCTAGACAGTAAGGAAGGATGGGAAGTCTTAGAGAGATTGGCCAAGCGTGTTAAACACTGCAGAGAAGCTAGACAGGAACTAACCACACAGAAAATGAGAGTTAAAATACATTAGTAAGTGTGGTGAAAACATTTTCTTGGAGTAAAGAGAAAAGTCGGCTCATTACAGAATTTGTAAGAAAAACTAGGAAGTTAGTGGAACTAGGAAACCCTGTGCAGGGCCTCCCCTGGTGGTGCAGCGGTTGAGCACTGGGCTGCAAAGCTGCCCGCAGCCTCTGCAGCACTGGTTCAATCACTGGCCGCTGGCGAGGGTCCCACATGGCACGCAGACCTCTCCTGCTGTGCCCGCTGCTCCCCTCAGCAGTGTATTTCACCGGTCTGCCTGTTCTGTTCCCTGCTCTGGCTCTGGTGAATTCTCTCACCCTCCCGTGCTTCTGACTATACCCAGTGCTTGTATAAATAAATAAGTAAATCTTTAAGAAAAAAAAAAAAACCTACTATTTAAAAAAAGAAAGAAAGAAAGAAAGAAACCCTGGGCAAACTGCTGGTCTTGAAGTATCTTGCCCATGAAAGGAAAGGGAACTGATAATGGTACACAGAGGGAAACGGGAGGTTTTCAGAAAGCTGTTAACAGACATAATGCAAGTTTACATCCCAAAACAAATAAACCATTGATGAATACTTGGGTAGAGAGAGAAAAGGGGATGAGGTGAGATGCCTAAGAAAAAGAGGGAAGACAGGGAACAGAAATAGAAAGTCAGCCTTGGACAGACCAAAACCACCTCTTCCAATGAGACAGGAGAGGAGAAAAGAATGGGAACAAATACAGACGAGAGGAGGATTAATGGATGCTCTTCCGTGCTTGCTACTGATGTTGTTATTTAGCTCATGAGGGTATCTCTCTTAGTATGATGAGAAGCATGATAACACAGAGCTCCAGAAAAGCATGGAGAGTGAAGCAAGTGCTCCTCTCCTAGCTCTAGCTCAGCTAGGAGCTAGAACTCCAAATTCTCTCAATTACACCCAGACTCAGCACTAATCTTGCCCTAATCATACTCTAATCTACACAGGATACATATAAGTTACTATCTATATATCTTTGGAGGAATGTCATGTCTAATACATCTTCCCAGTTCACAAGACTAGCCAGGTACCTGGCAAAACTGGAAAGCTGAAATAAAGTTTATGTTGTAACTTTCTCCAAGGACTCTATGATTGCATTTCTAAGCTGGGATCCATTTCCCTCATTTCACCTGGACAACTGCCTGAGCTGCTGAACACACTCAGCTGTCACAGTCCGTAAGGGGTAAGGTCACAATAAGTGTGATGACTAGTTTCATAAATGTCTATTTTCCTGTGAAATGACACTACACAAAAATTCTTATTGTAAAAGATACTAGAGCTGGTGTACAAGTGAAGAACTCAGAACAATCTTGAGGTGAAAAATAATTCTTACAAAATATGATTGGAGAAAAATGAGCAAATCTTTCAAAAATTCAAGCATGTTCAGAGTTTATTCTAAATGTGCACTTAAAATCTATAAATTTTAATGTCTTTTTAAAATCCATGCCTGGACATGAAAAACTGCACATTTAAAAATCAATTTTTACCTCTAAGTCATGCATAAGAGAAGGTTAGAATCATAAAATATTTCTGGATTTGATTACATGCAGTAAGCTTCCTCTGTTTTTATTTTTCACAACCATTATGTGGGACACATTACATATGACAATAAAGAGCATTCAGTGCCAGTCTGCCACCGAACAGTGATGAGCATAACTTAGCACTCATTACCTGCACACTTCTTACAGATGACAACACAGAGGTTGATGGATGCCCAGTCAGGATCTGGGGCTTTACAATCTGCACAGCTCCTGTTGGACTCATTGAACCAAATCTTCTCAGCTACTTCATAATCAGAGAGAGTTTCTGCTATCGATTGCTGCACAGCTTCAATCCACTCTTGTTTTTCTTTTTCAGACTCTGCTGTAAAGCTGAAACAATTAACGTTTCTGCATTATCGATCTCCCTTGTAAAGGCCAATTAAGCAGTATGTTCAGTTTGCATATTCATTTCACCGGCAAATTAAACAGCAGCTGAAAAATATGCCTTCCAGGCAGTTGGATAGTCTTTCTGTTAAAAATCATCTAATTTAAAAATCTATTTTTCCTTAAATTTTCTGCAACACTTGTGTCTTTGTTTACATACCTTGAACCAAAATTAACATACACATTTTTCTGACAGGAGTATAAAAATTGCTTGCTAGGTCAAAAGCTTAAATATTAGGCCATGTTTCCTAAGCAGTGGTTATATAATAATCAATAAGAGACTGGCAGAGTTTCAGGACTATTGGATAATTTTGCCAAAAAAGTATGCCATGATAGTCAGAAACTATATTATCAAGAACACCCACCAGAAAATTTTTGCAATCTTAAAAATAGACTCTTTTTTTAATTAGTTGAATGTCCAGATGGCTTAAAGAAACCGAGAAATCCAAAAAATTTTAAGTGATTACTATTCTAACAGAATACTAACTCATTTTTAACCATGTTCTGATGTATTCTGTCTTAGTGTTTACCAAGTACCTTGGTGAAGGGATAAAACATTAAATATCAATGTACTCCCTCAAGAAATACTAAGTGCATACTATGTACCTGATTCTAATTAATGGGTCACAATAAAATTCTGTTCTGAAGATGGAAATGCTTTAACATGCGATGAAATTAACATATAATTAGCATATTCTAATTCATAAGAATAATGAGTAGCCTACATGGATTATATTTTATATTTTTTGAAGCATTTTGTGGCTCCCTCATCACTTAAATAAACTTCTTTGTGGTTTCTTCTTCTATATAGAGATTAGTCACTTCCAGTACAGTACAATGGAAAAAGACATTTGATCTTTGTCCCCGGGTTCTAGTTCATAGCATCTAAAACACTTGGGATTTCCTGCTTGATAAAAGGGTCAGTTGCATGCCAATGGGATAACTTGTGGTTGGGACCCAGGTAACTTCAAGATGAAAGCTAGTAGTCAGAAAGACCCAGGCTGGAAAAAGGATTGAAACTTTAGGCTCTAGCACCTGACCTCTGGGGAGGGGATATGGGCTGGCCATTGAGTTAAACACCAACAACCAATAATTAGATCAATCATGCCTAGTTATGAAACTTCCAGCAGGGTTTGGAGAACATGTGCACTGGTAGACACAGAAAGGGGATGGGGCTTGGAGGCAACATATCCCAAAGAAGAGGCACTCTCACGAACCCCCACTTCCTTGCACACTCCTTGCACTGGCCATTCCTGACTTGTACTCTTTATAATAAGCTGGTAATAATAAACTTTTCTTGAGTTCTGAGCCATTCTACCAAATTATCAAATCTGGGAGAATGGAAGTCAAGGCCAAGTACCATTTGTAGCCAAGTAGGACAGAAGTATAGATAACCTGGGGGCCAAATACTTGAGACTGGTGTCTGAAGGAAGACACTCCTGTGGGACTAAGTCTTTAAACCTGTGGGTTCCAATGCCCCTTCTGTGTAGTTGATGGCAGAAAAGGATTGAATTCTAGGATACCCAGTGTGATGTCCAATTAGTCGGTGAGAGGAAAAACTGTAGAAATTTGGTGTCAGGAGTGCTGAGAGTAAACAGTTTAACTAATATCTACATTAAATTGAGGCTTGAATCTACATATGTAAAAATGAAGCTTATTATTCTCTATATGATTATTTTTTTCTCAAAATGTGAGTAAGAAGACATAACTTGATAGAAAAAAATGAGTAGCAGACTTATAGTATTTTTTAAATTGCTGTTAGTCCTTGAACAGTCTAAAACAACTGCCTCTGACATGCATGCTACTTTGCAATATGTTTATTATTTGTTACAAATGAATTAATGTGGTTTAACTCAAAACACACTGCCCTGTGGCTCTTCTGCATACCAAAGTTTGAGAATTAAAGATTATTAAACATATTAAGAACTTTGTTTTCTGTTTCGTTGTTGTAAAAAAGCAAATACTGGAATAATATGAGATGTATATTGAAATGTTAAGCTACTTTAGCAATAAGTGCTATAAGATCCATTCAATTCAGCATGATTTTAGCTAGAGTCTTTTTTAGGAAGTCATTATGAAACAATTGTAATTAGGGATTGATCTTAAAGGAAAGATTGTATTTGATTAGGTTAAAAGAATAGAAATAGCAGTACAACTTAAAGACAAGGAAGTATTTTTTACTACATATTTTCAAAGTATGAAAGGGATTTTTCATAAATTTTTGATAATACAATTAACATACCAAAACCACTAATGAGGCATTTTAGGAAACTACTCAAATCCCATGAAATTAGTATCTTTGCAGTTTTCATGATTATTCAAGTCATTTTTATAAGGTGTTTCTATATACTAGTTAATAAACTGGACAATAAAGATCATAATTTTATTGTCTTCTATGAAATAAAACCACTAATAACAACATAAAGTGCATCACCCAAGATTTCCTCTAGTAATACAAGCACACAATGAGTTAGGGTAACTTACCTAAAACTTCTGTAGGGGGTAATAATTTCAAAAGATTGTTTCACAGTTTTGTCCACTTGCTTTACATTTGCTACATTCATAGGAATTATGGTAATTCCAAGTCCACTCTTAAAATCCTGTTTGGGGAGAAACAACAAGAAAATGTTAAGAAACAAAAAAGTCATTCTTGAAAGTACAATTATATGTTCTAAAATCTAATAAATTTGTTGAATTTTATTGCTTATATGCATTTAGAGTTGAATAATGCATTGAAGATTATAATATCTACTCAAAGGGTTAGAATTTGATTTACCAAATAATTTCAACATTAAAAGACATCACTAATCTGACCTCAAAAAATGAATTACCTATGTGAACAGGTTCAGATTAAATGTGCTCTGAATTCTTAATTATGATCAGGAGAAAGCAGATATACCAAAGACAAATTACAAAAAAAAAAAATGCATTTTCAATAAGGACAGTTGTAGCAGAAACTGTAAAAGATGCTATATAAGCTAAAAGTAAAAGTAATATTTTCCAACCTCCTTTGTACCAGAAGGGCCAATGTGTCATAATTTTGGTCACTAAAATATAGTTACCTGATAGTATGGGGCGGTGGAGGGGGTGGGGGTTGGAAGGAAAGCTTTGGAAGAAGAAAGACTTTCACCTCTTGCCTGTTCATTTTTTTTGGGAAATAACATCTAGAAGCACAGAAGCCATTTCATCCTTAAGGTAAAATGTTTGAAGACAAATTCTTGGACCCCTCGGATGCCAGAGTGAGAGAAAAAAATAGGACAAACCCTGTTTCCTGAGGCAGCTGCAGTCCACTGCCTTCACTACGAGATCTTTTAACACAAATAAATTCCTATTTGTTTAAGCAATCTTTCAGGTTTTTGTCATTTGATTCTACTTGATAGTACTTGATTCCTGATGGATAAAAATATTATAACAAACTTTCCCCACTTGCAAAGGTATCCAGAATTTTCATTCAGAATTTTACAAAAAGTCTTCGTTTCTTGTAAAGGTATATGTTTTTGGTTAAAATGAGGAAATAACTCATTTATAAAACAAATCATTAACTGAATATTATTTTTTCTGATGAAAGAACAAATGGCTCATTTGGTTAGAGAAACAAGTCAGAAAGTGAGAGAAATACAAAAGAAGAGGATACATGCTAATTACTGGACAATAACTAGCAGTAATTGATACCCTTCCACTTTGTATTGTAAGCCCACTTTAAAAAACTGCATTTAATGTAATCTATAATAGAGGAAGAGAGAATCAAACCTTTCCAATCTGCTCATTTTAATAAATTCCAGCATATGGACACAGTGAGATACTCATTACACCGGAAATAAAGAGCAAAAACCAAAGTCTCAAGTATCTATACCAATGCTCCTGTTGGCTAAGATACCTGCTGGAGAGATTTCCAAAGCATGTGATTGGGAACTTAAGCTCTCCTTATAAATTAGGAAGTAAAATAAGGATACCAAGGTAAGATATTTTTAAATCAGCCTTCCGACGGTCCAGCCTAATGTGGGAAAAACTCTACAACAAAATAATTAGACTACAAGTACTCAAACAATTCTCTGTGATGAAGCTTTTGATAAGAGCTGGATTTGAGACCATTCCCAGCTCTATTCTGAGAGGTGTTGTCTGCAGGTACTGTGCATTACCAAGGGCAGAGATACATATTCAGACCATCATACCAACAGATGGCAAGACTGATAACCTTTTGCAGAAACTGATGAGCCTCATCAAGGTCCCAGCCTGAAAAGATGTCCTCTAATTTCTACCAGCTAATCAAAAAGTGTCTATGTTTAAAGCTGAGATTTCTGGTAAAAAACAAAGTGAGGGTCAATTCAAGGCCCCAAATTTCTCCCAAGCAAGGAAAAGATGATTTTTGAATCTGGAAAATGTATAGGCCATTTATCAGCTGTTTGCCATGGCCATATGGTTTTGAGTAATTAGAGTATCCACTGAACTCTCTGGCACAAATGGACTGTAAAATGTACAGCAGAATAACAAAATAAATGTCAGTGCACTTGAGAGCTATTAAATATAAAGTTGCATTTCTTATTTAAAATATCTGTGATGATATTAAGCATCTTTTCAGGGAACATTTAGAAAATATGCAAAATCTACCTCATCCCTAGATGCTCATCAAAATTACCTGTGTTGATCTCTCCCTGCCACCTGAGATTCTAACCCAGGAATCTTCTGGTTAAAGCAAAACAAAGTGCCATGATTCTCATCTATAGGCACAACTGAGAAAAACTCAATCAGATAACAGAACCAGCTGCACAACCTACACAGCATGCATCTGCAGTGTTTATTATCAGAACATAAACACTTCTCTCTGCCTTTTGTAGAGCAGGAAAGGATGCAATCAGATTATTTGAAAACCATTTGAAATCATTAAGACCACAGGTTAAAAATAGGCTGGCAAAACACAGTGACATATTGATTGTAAAGATCCAATTTGCCCTGGGTGCCAACCCCTGTGCTAATGTCCAGAAGTTTAAAAGCATCAGTCTTCATTAAGCATAGATAGTGAGCTCCATAATTGCTTTAATATTTATTTGTGCAGTGCTCTGAAGCTGACAAACAGCTATGCACTCTCATTTGATTTTCTGAGTAATTCTTTGAAGAAGGCAGAGCACATATAGTCATTTTTTTAATGGGCAAATTGTCCTGGCAAAATGGTGTTTTTTAAGTACTTAGTGGGTGCCCAGAAGTCTGCATAGAAGACAAAGACCGGACAGCTGTCTTAGGGAAGCTTACAGTCTAAGGAGGGAATGAGAGAAAATTGTAAAAAGAAAGAAAAATGCATGGCTGCAGGGTAAGCAATGAATCCTGCCTGGGAAAGAGTCATGTTCATATGAGGTGACGTTTGACAAAACAAACCTCAAAACCCAAACTAGCTTGATCAGGTACACCTCTCCTGCTTCAGTTCACTCACCCGCAAAGTGAGGATGATTGTAGGTAGTACCTACAGCGTCAGAGTGGTGAGGATGACGTTAATACATTAAAAAGGCTTAAACGAATGCCTGGTATACATAGTGCTACATAGCCCTATTTAACTACTGTTTTATTGTTATTTTATACCTCTTGAATTTGAAACCAGCATAATATATTGTCTGTTTAAAAGTTAATTATAAGAAAATGTTTAAAAATAACCTGCGGGTATATATAAATTTTTAAACCTGAGATGGAATGTGAAAGCTAAAATTTTCAAGAAAATTCAAAATAAACTATTAACTACATGTGATTGTGAGCACTATTTTCATTTTTTAAAAAATATGCCTAAGTCAGGAACAAGGCAAGTTTTTAACTTTCGAAACGCTATAAACTAGATTGAAAAAAACAGCATGAAAATTTATTGGGCAAAGTTGTATTACTAAAGAAAGCACAAAGCTACAAAGAGATGCTGGAGTAAACATCTCACATTTAATTTGCTGTTATAATAGATGGGATCTCAAAGAGCAAGAGTCCCATCACTGGCACTACTAAGCCCATGGCCAGGCCTGCAGAGCAGATCCAGACCTGCAAAGGTAGGAATTACCAAGTGGACATTGGGCTCGGACCTAGGAAGAATGTTGGCTGTGATGTTTCCTGGCTGTATGACTCCTGGCAAGTTATTTACCTTGATCTCAATTTCCTCATTTATGAAAGGACAGTGATATCTACCTTATGTAGCAATGTAGTAAAAAATTAAAGAAATATAAATTTAGAGCCTAAAACACTGTCAGTACTTTCATTGGGGGTTTTCTAAATACAGAATTTGTCTTCAATAAAAATAATCCTATTTTATTTATAGTGACTGAAAATATTCATTCCAATGATTTCATATTCAACATCCAGATTAGAATTAACAGCAACTCATCAGTAAGATACTAAAATGGGTTATTTGTATGAACCTGCAGCTACAGAAGCTGGTTAAAACTACATTTTAAAATTATATAGTGAAATGAGCAAAATGAAAGTTTGAATCCTAAACAGAAAATTAAAGAAAGATTTGTTAACCCCATTTTGCTTAAATTTCAAATCTATTTTTGGAAATACTGGATGCCAGGTTCCCATGCCAGAATTTTTAGAACTCGGTACTTAAACATTTGTTGAAAACAGATGTGGCATTGTATGACATTGGCACCGGATTTCCTGGGAAACACCAGATGCAGAGTTTGGCCAGATACAGAACCCAGAGAATTTAAGGCCACCACCTACATCCTGCTGTTTCTTTCTGTACCATATAACCCATAGCCCTATGAGATCTATTCAAATTCTATTAGAGTTCCACTCCCATGCCAGACACCAGAGACATTTTGGTTGGGGCAAAAGGGGAGAATGATTCTCTTGTTATTCCCTGCTTTGAGAATGTTCGATCAAGTGAATTTACGTAGTCAAAAACTCAATGCCACAATTATCATTAAATGTATACACAACCCCAGCCATGAAGGCATCTGGTTGTAATTAATTCTGTAGTAATAACATGATATTCAAACAACTTATCAAGAAAAGAAAAGAGACTGGCTGACAGCAACATAAAAAATGGAAACCAAAATCAATTTTCTCAAATACATCACATGTTCATTTTCAGAAATTCCAATCAACTAGCAAAACCATTTATGTAAAACACTATATATGACAACAGATATACTTCATGTATGTTCACATTATACTATCTCACTTAATTTTTTAAAAATAGCTTATATACTACATTTACATCATTTCAAATAGAGGTATACTTTTCCAGCATACAGAAAATCTGTAAGTTTTGAAATGATAAAAAGCAATATAAACAAAAACTAAAAGATTGAAAGTAACCATTATCTCAGAAAAAGTTGCAGAAAATATGCCAAGAGAGGATTATCTTTTTTATATAAAGAGATTAGTTATGAAAGACAACAAAATCCTAGAAGAAAGTAGAAAGATAATTCATAAGTAAATTTAAAAAGAAATTTTTTGAAAAAGATAAACATAAAAGTTAATCACAAATAGGGGTGTAAGAACTGCGAGTGGAGGGATAAACTAAAGAAATATTAACCTCATTAATACTGTTGAAAGCTACCCAATTTCCAACATCAACAATATTATTTACCTAGATGTTTACATTTTTAAAGAAAATTTAAAAATGAAAAGTGTTTTACTGTGTCTAGTTTTTGATCACCTGCCACTCAATCACCTGGGATGCTTTACTCAAATGCAGATTCTAATATCTTATCCCCAGAAATTCTCAGTCTATGGTACTGGGATGAGATATCTGGAATTTTAACATGCAACTAAATTAATGGTCTTAGAGACAGTAATGCATCTCCACACCCATGACAACATTTAAACTAAAGAGATAAACTTAATTGTCTGAGCCAATTAGTAGCAGAGCAAGAATGAAAACCTAGAACAGCTACCATCCAGTCCAGTCTTCTTTGCTCTAAACAAGCTCTCAAACTTCTTTTTTAGTAACACTTCAACATAGACCATAATAGCAACCCTTCCACCTCCCTCTACCCTCTGCTTACTCTCTGAAATTGCTGCCAAAGCAAATGAAGAAAACTATGATGTGACAAGAAAAATGAATACACTTCATGAGTTATAGAGGCCTAGGTCAAATGTTTATTTTTATTCAACTCATGCTATAGTTGTGAGTAATAAATTTATGGGTTTAAAATTTTAAAAACAAAATAAGTTTTTATGCAAGGAACTAAATTAGATCTAATCAAATTAAGATAAAGAGGTCAAATCTAACACCTCTTACATTTTTATGAAGATCTTTCTCATCATCTTTAATATAACCAGAAGATCATTTCTTGTGTTATGACTTAAAACTTTTGAAACTAAATCAAATTATTCTTTTTCTAAAATTTCATTGAAGTAACATTCCATTATAACATTATATATTTCAGGTGTTTATCATTATAAATCAAAACTTTTTCATTATCTTTCAGTGTTCTTATCCAGGAGAAAAACTCCTTATTTAGCACATCACTTCAGTTCTTCACATAATCTGCTCAGCCATGTGAGAAAACCAGTGGGCAACATTCCTCTGGAGAGAAAGGCACAGACCAGGATATAAAAATACATCAAACTGGAGGGTATTTCACAGCCTGAACCTGGACAGCCTTCCTCAATACAGCCACACAGTCTTGAGCCAACTAGTTGTTTTTTGTTGTTTTTTTTTTTAAAGATTTATTTATGTATTTATAAAAGAACCGGGGTACAGGCCAGATGCACTGAGAGGGTGAGAGAATTCACCAGAGACAGAGCGGGGAACAGAACAGGCAGACTGATGAAATATACTGCTGAGGGGAGCAGCAGGCAAGACAGGAGAGGTCTGCTGTGCCATGTGGGACCCTCGCCAGACAGCCAGGATCAAATCGGCGCCGCTGAGGCTGCGGACAGCTTCAGAGCTCTGTGCTCAACCGCCGGCACCACCAGGGGATGCCCGAGTCAACCAGTTCTTTAAGACTCGACTCAAGACCAAGTCTCTTTAGACCTAGTCCCATTTAATACAATATTTTTTTAAAGAATATATACATAAACAATAGTATGCACATTTTAAGTGGTAAAGGTTTGTGTTTGTGTGTGCACACACACGTGCCTGTTAGTGTATACAAAAGGACTTGAAACACACATACATTAAAAATAGGTTAACTTCTTAAAAGATAGGTTAAGGTTCAGCATTAATACTTTTAATTTTTAAGGAGAATATACTCATTTCTTGTGTCAAAAGAAGTTTTTCTAATTTCTAGATTTCATTTAATGTCCTTTTTATAATTCCTGAACAAATCTAATTAAAGTCTGAGTTTAACCACCTATCAACAATGCTTATCTTGTCTGACTTTTCTTACAGGGAAGACATGGACCCTTCTCATCATTTTGAGAGTACATGACATGGATTCAATGTATGTTGGAGACATACTCTGAAGCTCCTAGGCAACTAAATTATTCAAGGCAAAAATGCTTGGCTATTTCTAAATATCCTCTTTTTAAAAGGTCACAAACCTTTTAGAAATCTTCTTTTCAGCATACTTTTTAAAAAGGCAATTTGGTATAGTGGCTACAAAGCTAGTTTAAAGTTACAAAATGCTGGTTTTAAATTTAATTATGCATGATAAATTATAATCCTGAAGCAAGTTATTTAATCCTCATTTTCCTCATCTAAAACACATGGATGAAAATATCTTTCTCCTCCGTTTGTGAGGAAGATTAAAAAGGAATGTTTATAAATCAGCGTAGTACCCATTATTCAACAAATGGTAAACATTATGCTTTTTATGCTCAATTATTAGTATTAAATGAATAAAACCATAAAATTGCTATTCAGAAAATGTTAATAAAACTTTAAAAAACATCTAGTTACTTCTAAAGAATGAAAAACTCAGACAATCTAGCTAACGTAAGCAATGAACCCAATAATTTTTAGACAACAGGTCTGTGCAAGCAAAAACTGAATACCTCAATTAATTAACATCTATACTGCTACATTAAAATGCTATATGCATTTTTTTAAGATTTATTTTTATTTATTTATTTATTTGTTTATTTATTTATACAAGCACTGGGTACAGTCAGAAGCGCGGGAGGGTGAGAGAATTCACCAGAGCCAGAGCGGGGAGCAGAGCAGGCAGAAGGACCGAAGTACACTGCTGAGGGGAGCAGCGGGCGGCAGGAGAGGTCTGCGCACCATGTGGGACCCTCCTCCGGTGGTGGCCGGGGAGCAGCCAGAGATCCAACCGGCGCTGCAGAGGCTGCAGGCAGCTTCGCAACCCGGCGCTCAACCGCTACGCCACCGGGGAGGCCCTGCTATATGCATTTTTAAACTTCATACCAATAAGAAAAGTTTTAATCATCTACTTCACAGACTAAAAATGTTCATACTTAGTCCCTACACTTTATTAAGCTTTACATAACTACTACTCTTGAAAATTATGCTAGCTATCCAAAAGTTATTAATATGCCAAATTGTGCTCAGCAATGCCTTCCACAATTAATTGGCTAAGAAATCTTATCCAAAAATATACTAATGAGTAAGTTCACACTTAAGTTCAGAGAATTCCTTGATAAGGATTGATAATGTTCTTGAAACTACTATTTGTTTTGAGTTGACATTTTTATTTCTCATTATGAAATCAGTCAGCATTTACATTTCACCTTATCATAACCCATCATAATATATCATAAAATGAGTTCCTCTTAGACCCAATATCCAAAGTACAGTGTTTAATTCAAGAAATAATTACTAAGCACCTAATATATTCTAGGCTGAAGAATTAAGTAAGACTTCATTTCCCAAAAAAGCTAAGGGAAAGATTTTCTTACACATTTTAAAAACCAGGTATGTTAGAGAAAGGATTATCTACAGAAACAAATGAAGTTAACAGAATTTGTTGAAATTTTATTTTAATCAGTCCCCTCAAAGTATTTAAATTCTCTGTTGAGTCCATCGTTATTAACCAATTTTAGCAAGTCAAGTCCATTACATGCATATAAAATGATATGCATATATGTATATATAAATCATGTGCCTCTAGTATATTAATTCCTGTGTAAACAACATATGTGCTAGAAAAACAAAAAACAGGTCTCCCCAAATGCTGCAAACTCAAGAAAATGTTACTTGAGCCTACTTTATAATTTCTTTTACCAAAAAACAAACAAAAATAATCTACAACAGGGCCTACCTCATCAACATCTATAATGGCTCATTGTTCGTAATTATTCTCTCATGTAGTCTGGTATTACTTCAGCTAAGAAGCGCTTTTTAAAACTTATTTTCAATAATTGTGTCTATGCCTTTCGAAGATGATGTCTAGTCTCAAATTTAATGTATACCACTTCCCTGCCACTGGAGTTACTGAGAAAATTCAACAACACTGATATATAGATATATACCTACTAGGGCTTCCCTGGTGGCACAGGGGTTAAGTCTCAGTGCTATCAAGCTATTGCCAGCCACTGCAGCGTGAGTTTGATCCTTGGCTAGGAAGCTGACCCACATGGCAGGCACAGCGACCTCTCCTGTCTCGCCCACTGATCTCCTCAGCAGCGTATTTCAGTAGATTTGCCTGTTCTACTCTCCACTCTGTCTCCAGTGAATCCTCTCACCCCCACACCTCTGGCCTACACCCAGTTCTTGTATGGATAAATAAATCTTTTAAAAAAAAGATACATACCTATTTATAAACGCATATACAAACACGCATCTTACTGAGGTAATAATGGTTTACAACACCATATATGATTCAGAATAAAGGATGACACCTCTTCAGATGTGTTACCACATCATACACTCTATTTTATTTAGTGAAGTATTTGTTATAAGCGAAACTCAAGTAAAAACACTCATACAGCTAATAAAGTATAGTTGTTAATGGAATCAAGGAACCACAACTTGCAATTACTGTAGCATAGCTCACCTGTTCATTTTTGCAAAGCCACACGCTGTTTCCACTTAATACAGTAAAAATTTTGGCTTTATATCCTCTCAATTCAAGATACCCACATTTCTCAGGAACAACAACTGCTTGAGACTGTGAGGAAAGGGACTGTGATTTCAGTGCATTTAACAGTATGCTAATCCACTCATTTCTCTCCTCTGAAAACAAAGACAGGAGAAAATATAAACATTATATTTATCACTTACTTATCACATTAATCACAAATACAAACATTATATCACCGTATATAAGTGGTATGTAGACACAGACACATGAACATAGTTCTACTCTCTCTGCAAGAGATAATTCAGATACTTTCTCACAACCACAATCTGAAAGTTATTGTAAGTAGGGTCAATGGTCCAACTTTTTAAGGAAAAATAATTGTAAAACTTAATACTCGGTCATCTTGCAGCCAATACCACTGGCTTCACCTACCAGTTGCAAAAACTCAGGATCCATTCCAGACCTGATGAATCAGAATCTTTATCTTAAGAAGATCTCCAGATGATCTGTCCATATTAATATTTAAGAAGCACTCATAGATTATTCACGAGATTGGATTTTCTCTTTCAGTAGAAGTAATGTGACTGAACAGTTAATAGATTGTACCTGGCAATTCAGTTATTTAAATGCCCAGAAAATCTTTCTTTCTAACAGTCAATTGAAACTTAGTCAAGAGCACACTTGCCTTGATAATCTAATCCATTTCATTTGCACTCTCGTCACATCTTATTTGTAAACTAAAACTTTGTTCTCGGGCCTCCCCGGTGGCGCAGTGGTTGAGTGCTGGGTTGCAAAGCTGCCTGCAGCCTCTACAGTGCCGGCTGGATCCCTGGCCACCAGCGAGGGTCCCACATGGTGCACAGACCTCTCCTGCTGCTCACTGCTCCCCTCAGCAGTGTACTTCGTCACTCTGCCTGTTCTACTCTCGGCTCTGGCTCTGGTGAATTCTCTCATCCTCCCGCGCCTCCGACTGTACCCAGTGCTTGTATAAATAAATAAATAAATCTTTTAAAAAAAAAAAAAAAAAAAACCTTTGTTCTCACATTACATAACAGCTAAGTGATTTCAACTATGTAGAACACACTAGGTTATGGACATAGGAATTTGACCATGCCCCCCTAAGAGCAATTAAAGCTGTAAGTTAAGTTAGATATGCATACATAAAACACTATAAATATATAAATGATAGGTGAGTCAATTCAAAAGTGCACCGGATTTGCTTAAGTCATATAGCAAATTACTATTAAAATTGGTGGACTCTAATGTTTTAACACTGACAACTGTTCCTGGATTTACACAAAAAAATAAATGGGGGGATTTATAGTAAGTCTTGAAGAAAGGATGAATTCAAAAGTCAAAACTGGAGTCAGAAGGGAAAAGCTGAACACTAAGAGGAAAACACAAGAACAAAGGAAGAAAGAACCAACATCTGTTCAAGAACTAACAACTGAGTGTATTTATAATTCTGAACTCATAAGTTAACACTGAAAAATGTGGTTAGAGATTCTGTACCACCTTTGCAAAAAAGAATAAAAGGTAGCTTGGTATTGTCAACTGACTGGACAAAGAAGGTGGGAAGTTCTTTATTAACAGAACCACTTCAGGTTTTCAGTTTCTTCCCTTGAGCGTCTAGAAGACTGATAGCAACATGGGAATGAAGGAAACTTATGCAAGAGAAGACCCATAAAGTGGGTAAATGTTTCATGTACATGGAGACAAAATGGACAAAATTAAGGGACAACTGCATTTATGAACCTAAAAAAAAAGACTAGCAAGAAAGCAAAGGAGAAATGGCTGTTAAGGCAAAGGGAAAAACAAAACAGACTGAATTTCATGCAGGAAAACATTTTAAGAAGGAAGGAGAAAAAAATAATAAGTAGGGCCCAACTTTGGGAAACTGAATATTATCTCAGATCCTTCTAGGACAGGTCTGGCCAGAATTACTTTACTGTGAATTGAAACAAGTCTCCATATTAGATTTGTTCACATCTGAACATGAATCTATTGTTAATCACCTTCATTTGTGTACACCTTCAAAACTATTAAAGACTTAAGGCCAAAGTATTTGATAAACACTCATTTCAACACTTTATTTGCAGGGGTTACATAATTCCCAAGTAATACTGCTTGTTTACATCAGAATGAAATATTTATCAATCATTAACAATATGCATCATTAAACTACAAGACATGGAAATATTCTGGTACCTTAGGTCAATGTCAATAACAGCAGATACAGACTGTACTAACAATTATGATTTTGGTAATGCAATAAATCTGGTGATCATTAGTTTCACAAAAGATACTCCTGCCAAGTAAATGATATGTAATGACTTTTGTATATTTGTGCTAATTCACACAAATCACTGAGTTTGAAGTGTAGGCAATAATTTAATGAATGGAGACAAAGGGTCCATGGCTTCTAGATTACTATTAGCATATATTTCAATTTCTCAGGAAATAATTTGAATTTCTCAGGCAATCACATCTGTCGGACTTAAGCATATTATGGCTACATCTCCGCAAATGGCTCCTTTAAAGCCTGGAAGATTACCTAGCTCCTGAGGGCCTCATTTACTGAGAGGAAGTAAACAGTCATGAAGAAGAAGGGAATTAATAGTAACATACAGCTTATTCTTAATTACCCATGCCAATGGAGATAAACAGTGATACAGATAATTCAAACATAAGAAAATAGATTAAAGCATTTAGTTGTGCAATGAGTACATACTTGCACATGGGGACTATGCTTTGACAGGCCACAATATTAAAAAAAAACATAATAATGATGTCCCCTTGCACTAAGTGTCTTGGGCAAAAGTTGATAGATTCTAGCTGTTTCTGCCCTCAAACCAAGATGCTTTCATTCTTTCCAATAACAAATATTTATTGATTGTCTATCATGATTTTAATACTATACTAAAATAAAATACCATTCTTCCTGAGAATATGCTCTGATTCAGATAAAGTTTTGCTCAAAATAAAGCAATCTGGGGTGGGGAAAAAAAGAATGGAGGAAAGAAGTTGGGGAAACAAAAAGTGTTTTAATCACTATTTCCTTGTGATTATTGCACAACATAAATAAAAGATAAAGCAAATTCCCTCAAACATCAAATTGGTTCTTGAGGTTTTCAGGAATGACATCTTATGTGTAAGAATAAAAAGAGGGTAAAACAAGAGAGACTTAACATTCCCTGGACAACCAGTAGGAGAAGGCATATTCCTTAAAAACAAAGGACTGACTGATTATCCTAGAGATTACTATGCAAGGGTTGTAAAATACATTAATCATAGAATCTAGCAAAGTTTAGTGTCACTCTTACTTTGATGTAATATTATAATCTAAAGATTCTTCAAGGTAACCCACGATCAATATTCAATAAGGAAGTATTATCCAACAGGGTTGTTCTTGAAATTGATAAAAAATATTCATACAAATAATTACTGAGCACCTATAATGCACCAAGACTATCTGAATATCAGGACTGGAAGAGTGGACAAGACAGATGATGACCTCATCGCCTGGAGGCTATATATTACACTGTCCACAAGTGCATTTTGCTCTCAGTAAGATGGAAAGACAACAGAGCACGTGGCATGGTCTGACATGATCTGAATTTCTTGTTGAATGATTGCTCTGACAAGTGTGTTGAAAATGTAACAGTCCAGTCAACCTAGGGAGGTAATTACAATAGTCCAAATAGAAGTAGTGGCTTGTATGGGTGTGGTAGTAGAGTGGAGGTATAGAGAATTGGTTATAATGAATTCCTGTTTCATAGTGAAACTGGTAAGACTTGCTGATGAACTGGATGTGAGATATGAGAGAGAAAAAAAATGCAAGATAGTCAATACAGGTACACAACAGGGAACTTTTCATTTTCCTGGTTCTCCCTCTGATTAACAAATGGCCCATTTCTTGCTTGTAAAACATTGAAGATTTTAATGCAGGTAAGTCTGTTTGTCCAAAGGGGGAACTGGCCTGTTTCCTATTCCAAGTGCTCTTTAAATTTTTTTTCTTTATGAAAAAGAACTTTATAGTATCATACCCACCACGGGAGGGCCGTGTGATAGCCTCTAGAACAGTTACTGGGATGACACATGTGCCTGCCTCTCAGGGATCTAGAATCCGCTAAGGAGCACAGGGGTTCATGGGGCCTGCAACTGAGAGCCAGTACTGAGAACAGCCCCGAAAACAGAGTAAACTGGAATTCTTAAGTTCTCTTCTAACTAGGAGGGCTGCCCACTGGATAAACCACACCTATCTTGGGAAGTAACACACCTATATGTGCAAGCACACTGTCCAGGGGGACAGACTGACTGGAGAGCTCATTAGCACTACTGCCCTCTGACCAGCTGCAAAGGTTCTGCTTGCATAAAGCAAACTAATTTTCTATTTGAGGCAGAATATTTTAAAACTATTTTTCAGCATAATTCACTTTCAATGAAAAAATAGTATTTTAGGGGAAATTGAAGCCTTAGCTGAATCTGGGGTCGGGTGGGGGGAGGAGATGCCAGATTATAGTCCAGTCTTAGCACAGACAGCAGGGAACACAGCAGCGATTAGAGCGATGCTGGCTTTAGTGGAGACAAGGAGTAGCAGCACATATATTAAAAGGGCATTCAGAACCTGACCACCAAAAATGAAGAATTCATCTCTGCTAAGATGTGAAAACCAGTGCCTCTTTCTGTTTAAAGCTGTGACCTTCCTTTTTGGCTAGATTAAAGTAAAGTTCAGTTTGGCTTTAAGTTCATAAAGGCAAATTTTGTATAAGTCGCTATGGATAATTTCTGAGCTTCTACAAAATGAAAAATCATTTGTATACGTGGGAGGAGATAAAGTACTTAATAAAATATATTTAGTATTTGTTGAAGGTTGCAAACTAAAAATATACACGCAAACACAATTTGTATAAATACACACACAAACATCTACATACACTTATCTTTTACAATATGAGTTGTTATTATGGAAAAATGAATTTCAAAATAACTTATTCAGTAATTCTATGTCTCAGTTTTTACCGAAGCAATAATTTCATGGGTTTAAAAATTAAATACCTAATATTTAACAAACTATTTATACCAGTTAATGAAATTATCTTATTACTAAGGGGACACTGGTTACATGGTTGTGTCTTAAGAGGCATAGGGTCTCCCCTTTCAGGTGCTGCTACGACATCACATTCGCCACCAAGACAAGCATCTCCAGCCACCACAGTCCAAGAATGAAATTCTTGTACTATGTTTAAAGCACAGTGATGAACTCCATACCACAGAAGGATTTATTGGTCAATTGTAAATATGTAACTTTTAAATGTGTGGGTTGATACATTCTACTTAAATAAAATGTGTCTGTTTAACTTTTAACTGCTGCAAGTGAAAATGGCTAAACAGATTTTCACACAGGCTAGAAGCTTTATTTAGTAGGTCTATCTTAGAATGCAGGCTGTGTGGCAAATGTGAAATTCAATTTAAAAATCCAAGGGTATGGCAATAAGCACCTCAATGAGATAGGAGTCACCATTCAGGTCAGTGAAACCAAAGCACAAGGAAAGACCTTCACAATCGCCCCTCAAGAGGAGCAAAAGAATTTTGCAAAGCATTTTGGGACTGTTGAAAGACAAAAACTGTGATTTCAGCTGCAAGTCCCATATCACACATCACAACCGTGGACAACTTTGTGAATTTCATGCAATGATTCACAAAAAGTGGTTTATGACATAGACAATCCCATATAAAACATTTGCGCTCAGGGGTTAGCACAAATTTTCTGTAAAGGCCTAGGCAGTAAATATTTTACATTGTACTGGCCACATAGTCTGAGTTACGATGACCCAGTGCTGCTACTGAGACACAAAAGCAGCCAAAAGACATGACAATATATGAGTGAGAGTAGCTGTGACCTAATGAGAAAGTAAGGAGTGGGCCAGATTTAGACTACAGGTCACAATTTATTATCATCTACTGTAGGGCTATAGCTTTCAACAGTTTTTAAAACAGCAAGTCAAGTCAGGAACCATTTTTACTTTACATGTGGGCAATACATATATAGACATGTTTCACATGCCTTACTCTTACTGTGATAACTTACCCTAACTGTGATAGGGTAAGTTTTGTGCTTCTTTTTTTTTTAAGATTTTAAGATTTTGGTGCTTCTTTTTTTTTTTTTAAGATTTTATTTATGCATACAAGAGCTGGGGCACAGGCCAGAGATGCGGGGGGTGAGAGAACACCCCAGAGACAGAGTGGGGAACAGAACAGGCAGACCGACTGAAATACACTGCTAAGGGGAGCAGCAGGCAAGACAGGAGAGGTCTGCCACACCATGTGGGTAGCTCCTGGCCAGCTGGGGATTGAACTGGTGCTAAAGAGGCTGTGGACTGCTTCACAGTGTGGTGCTTAACCCCTTGTGACACCAGTGAGGCCCACCTTTGGTGCTTCTTATTCTATTTATGTATGTTTGTTTGGGGGATTTCCTTTTGGTGTCATCAGAAATCACAATGTTGATTTCACAATGGTTATTGACTTATTCAAAGTGAGTCTGAAAAACCACTTTTCCAGCATGAAAAGTAGCTAGAACTTACCCAGTTACTAATCATCCCAAGCAATAATGGAAGCTTCTAGTTATATAAGAACAGGCAGACCAAAATTACACTGCTGAGGGGAGCAGCGGGCGAGACAGGAGAGGTCTGCCTTGCCACATGGGTATCTCCCCAGATGGCCGGGATCAAATCCACACTGCAGAGGTTGTGGATAGTTTCACAGTGCAGTGTTTAACCCCTTGCGCCACCAGTGAGGACCCTCTCTGGTGCTTCTTATTCTATTTATATATGTTTGTTTGGGGGATTTCCTTTTGATGTCATCAGAAATCACAATGTTGATTTCACAATGATTATTGACTCATTCAAAGTGAGTCTGAAAAACCACTTTTCCAGCATGAAAAGCAGCTAGAACTTACCCAGTTACTAATCATCCCAAGCAATAATAGAATCTTTCTAGTTACATAAAAAACTTATTGAATGTTTTCTATGTGCCATACGGTCTCACATGCTCTAGGAATCTAGCAGTTTAAAAACATAAGCACAGCTCCATAAATGTTAAAACTGCAGTAGTTTCCAAAAGATGAATATCCATGTATAAAATGGGATAATAATTGAAAAATCTATGCATCACCTAACACTACCATGAAAATAAAGCATTTAGAAGATTTTTCTGGAACATATCTGGTAGCTTTACATATCACTATGATTCATATAATTAAGTGCAAGAGGTACTTTACAAATCAGGTGGAGAAATAATCAATACTAAATAAAAGTAGGGTTTACAATAAGTTTAAGTACATAGAAAAATTGTTCTTGCATATTAAATAACTACTTTGCATTATCAAAACATCTAAAAGGCGAGCTATAGAAAGATTTCTGTCTAGTTTTTATTTACTGCTGAATACCCAGAATGTAGACGAACCCACAGGACTTTGTAGATTCTCACTGAATATTTGATACATGAAAGAATAGTGAACAAGTGACCTGTCAAACATTTTTGTATTTTAATAAAATGGAATTCAAAAAAATTAATAAAAGATATAGATTGTTGAAAAGTAACAACACACGGGCAGTTTCTGTGACATTTCTAGATGACTAGTTTTCTGATCGGTAAGAAATATCTGGTTTTTTGTTTGTTTGTTTTTTTAAAGATTTATTTATTTATTTATTTATTTATACAAGCACTGGGTACAGTTAGAAGCATGGGAGGGTGAGAGAATTCACCAGAGCCAGAGCGGGGAGCAGAACAGGCAGACTGAGGAAGTACACTGCTGAGGGGAGCAGCGGGCGGCAGGCGAGGTCTGCGCGCCATGTGGGACCCTCGCCAAGTGGCCGGGGATCGAACCTGTGCTGCAGAGGCTGCAGGCAGCTTTGCAACCCAGTGCTCAACCGCCGCATCACCAGGGAGGCCCAATATCTTGTTTTTCTTTTTAATCAGAATAAGGAAATAATCTTACCCTCTTTTTCTGCTCTAAAAACAAAAGTTCTTTGTGTTGTAACAACTTCAAATTTGTTGTCTCCTTGAACTCGTACTGTAGATATAGCAGAAAGAGGAATTACTCCTTTTGAATACTTCTCCTGCATTGGTTAGAGAAAAAGACACATAAAAAAGATATATTAAAATGAGATTCTCTTGTGCTTATCAAAAATAAATGGCATAATATTTACAAATGTTTCTGTATAATTTCAATCAAAATTATATAAATAACATATAGATAGCAGGTATTTTATAGATACGTGCACGCGCGCTCACACACACACACACACACACACACACACCCCACACATTCTCATGCACAGTTAACAACCCAGAAAGGAAAACTTTATATGTCCCTTTCAAGTGAGCTATCTTTGCAATTTTCTTTTCATCTGGAATTAAAAAGTCAAAGAATCAAAAACAAACCATCACACTAGACCAACAATATAACTAGTTGCAAAAAACAGCATTATGTTCTTTGAGATATTCTAGTAAAAATGATTTCATGGTGTTTGCAGGCATCTGGTGGCCAAAACAGGTACTGTAACTGAACCAATTCAAACCACTGCTATCACATACTGTGGAACACAAGAACATAGCCGAGAAACCAGACAGTTGGATTAAGTCTATTGACCACATTACCCTGTGCTCTGATGATGATTTTAAGCCCACAATGCCATCACATTACTTTTTATCCTCCAATAAAGAGTGGAAAAGGATAGATTTGGCTGTTGGCATACACATATCACACTTTTCTCCATGTGGTCATTCTTGAGAGTCTTGATAACTCTACCAATCTTCCTTTTTCTGAACCCTTTAAGCCATTTGGCATAATGACCACCCCATAATTTCAATTATTTCCAAAAAATGTAATATTTGTTGGACCATGTACTGGAAAGAAGTTTCACAGAATAAATACACATTCAAGGAACCTCATGATGAAAAACCAGCTAATATAATAAAAGTTTAAAACTGAGTACAAACTATGGCATATAAGAGTATAAAGATGAGAATTCTCTATTCTACTTAAAAGAGATTAGAGATATTTTTAAAGAGATGGTGGCATTTATACCTGACTCTAAGAAATCAACTTTTCAACCAATAAGGTAAGTGAGTAGAGGCCATCCTGGTCAGAAAGGCTAAATAATGGAGGGGTAAAGAAGAAAAATAAGAGGGACTGTGTATAGAGTCTAAAGGAATGAGACTGAAAACATAAACAAACCAAGGTCACATTATGGAAGGTCATGAATGTCACAAAAATCCAGAAACACTGTTACAGGTTTCTTCTACTCTTCCATTCCACAGCATTACCTGCAGACCCTTACATTTGAGCATGTTCCAAGTATCAAAAATGACTGCTGAGTTAAAGAATATACTAAATTATTCCAAGCAGAGAACACATGTCATGTTCATGTTCTTCCCACCAATAAAACCTTGCTATACACAGCAGATAGGTATGGTTCTACCAGGAGATTTAGCAGCTGCTAGTTGAGGAATATACTATACTATCATGGTATACTTGCTTAATTCCAACAGCTTCTTCTCCTCCACTGCTTCTGTTCTAATCTCTTATCCTAGACATTGTGTCCATCAAAACCCCAGCGACTCTTTAAAGCCATCTGAAATTCCAAGGTCATGAAGATCATCCCATGTCCTGCAGCAGTCAAAATTGAATTTATTGACCTGTGATTTAGGAAGATGTGTGGGTAACCTCAGAGAAAAGAGGAAAATAAAAAATAAGTACTTATAACTTTTCTTTATTTTCCTTTTGTGTGTGTGTTATCTTCTCTCCCAAGGAAGAAAATCCCTTCATACTCTTTCAACTACCTACTTCATGCAGAGAATTCTAACATCCTTCTCTTTCTTACCCATGTCAGTGATCTCTACTTCCACAAGCCATCAATGGTGCATTCACTTTCCCATAAGCACCTCAAAGTTTAAAACTGATCTCCTGAAAATGTAACCTCCTCTCTCTGTGCCCATCCATTAAAAAATCACTAGTCAGTATTGAGTAGAACAATCTTACTGGTGATCCCACAACTTGGATTTCTTGCCACAGCTAGTGTCAACCTGCTCTCCTCCACAGCCTGACACTTTCTAGTCACATTAGCCTTCTTGGGGTTCCCTGAGCATCTGATCCATTGCCTCTGCATACTCTGTTCTGCAAGAAATAGTTTTCATACCCATCTTCACGTAGTTTCTGCCTCCACATTCTTCATACTTTAGCAAGAATATACAGTCCGGAAGAAAACTTCCTCTGAGCAGCCTCTTTTCTCAGGCCCTTCCCTCACCTTCACTCAGATAGAAAACCAATTTAAGATAATATCAACCTGTACCTTTCCTCTACATCAATTATTAACTAATAATTTATATTTACTGTAATTTCTATATTTACTGGGTGATCATCTGGTTAATACATTCTCTCCAGATAGAAGAGACTGTGTGAGTCATAAGCCTGTTTTCCTCATCACTTTTCACATAATCAGTGTTGCATATTTTCTGAATGAATAGATCCTATTTCCAATCAATCACAATTACATCAAACTCTAACAGCTCATTTTCAATAATTTTCTAAAGTACAGAATTAGCATAAACCCTGTGAAGCTAATGCCTGATTTAGAGCACACACTCCTGGTTTACCTCTCTACTTTCACCCTGTTTTCCTTCTAACTATCCCTCATATTATTGCTCAGATGTCACAGATGGAGAAAGTAAAAATTCAGGGACTAGTTTTACAAGATGGGTTTTGATTAATGGCAATGGCCAGGAGGTACAAAAACAAAAGCGCAAGACTATGGAGTAAACAATCCAGGAAAGAGACATGCTAAAGTTTCCGCAATTTCTACCCAGACACCTCTGAAAAAAAAGTCATTGTAAAGAAATTCTTAAGATTGGTTTAAAGGAAATCCAATAAATGTGAATAGGTCACAGCAATACAGAGAAGACTAGACAACTCTAGGAATTAAGACTCGGGAGAGAAAGCCTTCCCACCGTCAGGTAACCCAGGGGGCAGGTGTGAGCATGGCACCTGTGAGGACAGTTTAAGGGCCTCTCTGGCAATAAGTTTGTAGTGGCTGAGACCAAACAAGGAAGATTCTACGATTTTTACAATGTCCAAAAACACATTTTCTCCCCCCAGGTGATACTTCATCAAATTTTAGTTCACCTAAGAATGAGAGGAGCTTATAAAAAGTGTGTCTACAATGAGACAATTAACCATTTACTGAATAAAATGGACTCATTAACCCATTTTTCAGTAATGAAAAATCAAGCAGCATTACAGGAAAAAAGGAACTTTAAAAAGGAGATTCTTCTACATCTCTTTAAAGAGATTAGAAAACAATTGCTTAACAAAATAACTTACCTACATGCTTATAATATTATATTTAAAAGGTAAGTGCTTATGGAAGAGTAACAGGAAAACAAATTCCCCAGAAGTGAGCAAAATGTACTTAACAAGCTAAAAAGATGCCACTTCAGGAAGCTGTCATTTCTCTAATGGCTCCTTTAACTCTATTAGGAGATCCCAAGATAAATTTCATATTTTCAAACACTGTAGAGTTGATTTTACATTTATCTACATGATAAAGACAACATAGAGGGGGAAACTCAATGACAACAGACTTAAACTAATGCATTTTTCAGAGTGTAAAATTGTCCTTAAGAAATTTTAAAGCATCCCTTGAGCCTGGAACACAGATATCTAGGTCAAGTTTGTCATTTATCTATGACTTGCAGACAATGAAGCATACAATTCTGCCCACAGCTGAGGCCAGAGGTGAGTTAGATTTCTTGGCTGGTGATGGTGATAAAATAGTAAGGCTTTGGGGATGATGTCATTTTCAGTAATACAATGAAGAAGTCTTTGCAGATAAGTGATTGAGCAGCCTGGAGAAAAGTAGAAGAAAACTCAGCAAACAGGCCACTCTGTGTGCACATTACATCCTAAGATCCCAACTACATGCCCCCTCAACTGCACTTTAAACAATGAAAACAAGGCCCAACCTCTTTGCACATGGCCAGTAAGACAGTGCACCCAGCTGACACAACATCTATGGCCACACCTTTGCTTCTGTTAACTGCCCCTGAAATTCTCTCTTCCCAGTTCACCAATTCATCCCTTTTGCCAGCGGAATCACAACAGAAACCATGTCTCGTTTTAGAAGACACCCATTCCTGTGGTTTTGTATTTTGCCAAGATGAAATCAGCCATAAGGATAAGTAAAAGAATGAAATAACAAAGAAAACAATTTGAAGTTTAAGAAATCTGATCCTCATCTAAATGATTTATAATGATTTTAGTAATGACATATTTATCTCAATTTGAAACTACTATTTTTTCACAAATATTTTTAAAAGTGATAGGCACTGATCTCTTCACAGTAGTTCAGAGGAGCTTTTAAAGGACAATGAGAGAAAAAGTCTATTGGATACTATCAACAGAAACGCTCTGTCCCAGATGGAGATAATAATTCCAAAACTAACAGTGCCTCGTGGCATGGAAGCCACTCTCACTTGTAAACAGTTTCCCTCCTCATTTCAATTAAGTCAGAGAAGGACATTAGGTGCTGAAAAAAACTGGGGTCAGATTCCATCAGAAAATGAGACTTCAGTTGTATCCACCCTTGGGCATAAAAATTATCTCAACATTCAAATATACAAACAAACAAGAAACAAAAACTAAAGCAGGAAATCAACTTTAAAAAAAATGCATTATACCATCTTGCGAAACGCAAAGAGGTGTGTTTAAACCTATCTGATGCTTTAGCTGAATCATTGCAAAGAGAAGCAAAGCAACTCACACTTCACTAGAGTTTAAACTGTTCTCGGTATAACAGCAGCATGTGAGGTGTTATGTTGCAATGTCTGTTACTTTCTGAAGTCACATATTCTTTTGCCCAGCAGCACTGACAATTCAACATATGAAGGGATCTAAATCTCCATTCAAATCACAAATTTCATCAACTATTAAGCATTTAAAATTTCTATTAAGGGCCTCCCTGGTGGCACAAGAAGTTAAGACGCAGCACTATGAAGCTCTCCATAGCCTCTGCAGCACAAGTTCTATCCCTGGCCAGCCAGGGAGCTACCCACATGGCAAAGCAGACCTCTCCTGTCTCGCCCACTGCTCCTTTCAGCAGTGTATTTTAGTCAGTCTGTGTGTTCTGTTCCCTACTCTGTCTCTGGTGAATCCTCTTACCCCTCACAAATCTCTGGCCTGTACCCCCCAGATCTTGTATGCATAAATAAAACTTCAAAAAAAAAAAACCTATTAAATAATGAGATAAAGCCAGGTTATAAAACCACAGATTTCAGACTATGGTTAAATGTTAAATATGTATATAAAGGAAATGTATAGCTAAAACTATATAATATTGATTTAACTAAATAAAAATGGGATTTTTATTAAGGAAATTTTCAACGCAGAAAATCAAAGATTAGTACCACAAACACTCATATGTCCTTTCCTAAATTTGACAATGGCTACCAACTTAAGTTTTTGTTTTATCTATGTTTGTATGCAAACATATTTGTAGATAACAGCTACATAGACAGATAACTATCATAAGAAAAACACCTGCAGATAGGACATTCCTCTCCAAAGTATTTCAGCTTAAATCTCCGAAGAATAAAATCACTTCATATCTAATAGAGGGCAAGACCAAAACAGCATCTCAACATTAAGACTCAACTACCCATGAAATACAGCAGGTCATCATATAATATATTCATTCAACAGAATTTTTTGTAACATTGATGAGGGAAAAATAATTCTTGCCACATTGAATGAAATGACTTATTGAGAACATGGCTTTGTTATACATCCTTTCTCTCAAAGTTGAATTTTTAAGAATCTGTGGACACTGTAAGTTATGATTTCCTGTATTTTGTGACACTTTCACATAATTGTCAAGATTCTTCGCTGAGCTCTGAACTCCAAGCAGCCTTTTCTCAGCTTCATAACCACAAGTCTGTATCACAACTCTGTTCCCCACAGAGAACTACCCAATTCTACCAATACATAGCCCACATTTTCCATCTGGACGACCCATTTGTTCTCTCTGACAACAGATTCTATTTTGGCTGGTTTCTCAACATAAATTTCTCTTTCTTGTGGTGATAAATATCTGAAGAGATGTGAACCTATTCTCCAAAATCATAAACAGTAATGTAAATCAACATCATCTCAATATTATACAAATTTAAAAATGGCATCTTAATGCACCATTGAACACACAAATCAGTAGAATTTTTCCATCAGGTGGTTTGACAATGTGTACTGAGAGTTCAGCAATTTTACTTTCAGGAATTCATCCAAAAGACATAATCAGTTATATACAACAATATCATAAAGAAAATGTTAATTATGCTATGACTTATAACAATAAATATTTTAAAAGAAACCAAATATTTCCTTTAAAGCTTTAGTTAAATAATATGGCAAATCTATTCAATGAGATACTAAATAGACTTACACACAAAAATACACATCAAATAAACAGATCCTATGGCAAATGAAATCTCATGCAAGAAGTTTGCTCTTCTACAACCATTCCCAGCATACAAAACCACCTCTTCTTGTTTTGCCATTTTCTATAGGCAGTGTCATTTGGTAAACATTGGTTAGTGCTCTCTGGAAAAAAGGCAACTACTTGTTCATCTGTATATCGTTCATAATCACTCTTATGGCTTGTAGTAGAAACTTCATTAATAACTTATTTAACATAAACAATTGCATGTATCAAGCGAAAGTTAAATGATGGAAAAAATATGTTTTTATCCTATTCAAACCCTTTTATTGTAGATAGTCCAACTCCTATTCTTAAACATCAAATCACTTACCTAGTTTGTACTTATGCCCAAAGCAATCTTTGAAAACCGTAAAATGCATTTACCTTATCATTATTGTAATAAGAAATGCTAAGGCCATCAAATTTCACCCATCTCTTCTGAAACATGCGTTTTCTGTAAAACAAATAAAATGGTTATTTTACATTTAAGTACCATGAGCTTGGTTTTTAAATACATTTGTAACAGAACTTTGCTGAGTACATCACCATGACTAAGCAGGATAAAAAGCATTGGGTTATGACAACATACAGTTTTGACCGTGGTGCAAAGAAAAAAAATACATAAATGACACTTTCTAATCAATTGACATGGGTATTAAAAAAAAAATTATTATGGTAACAATGTTGTCATCCACATTTGCAATGTTGAATGCAAAAGGTGGTTGGTAACACTATCAGTGTCCCCAGTCCCCTAAAAGGAGATGATCCTTTAATGAAGATAACAAAAACTTACATCCTTCACTAAGCTTTGAACATGTGCCTTACTTTAATTTTCTGCAATATTTTTTTTTTAAATAACAAAGCTTTGTCATTTGGAGTTACATAATTTAATTTAGAATCAGCTGAAAAGCTCTTTTCTAAATATAATCATTTACAATCATCCAAAATTCATTAAAACACTTTTTAAAGAATCTTATGAAAAACAAATGAATTTAAAATGGTTACCAACAAGAGAAACAAAGTAAAATAATGCAATCACATGTTTCCTATTTAACTCGGAAAAAAACAAACATTTTCTGACTATATAAGGGAAAATCACAGAATCATTTCTACTTGGATTTATTTTTATTTTGTTTTATTTTGTTTCAGTCCCTTTCCCTGAAGTCAGAAAATCCTAAAAGTTTTTAATATCATATTCTCTACAAGGCTCTCAGCTAGGACTGATTCATTCTGGAGACGTTTCACCTTCCACACACTTCATATATGGAAACTAACTTCCAGTTTCAAAAAAAAAAAAAAAAGCCATTTCTAAATTAATTAGGTAGGTAACAACCAAATCTACATTTTCTAACATGTTTAAGATAAGGAATTTGTATCATTTCTGTAGTTTTCAAAAGACCTAAAAATAGAAAAAGAATGTCAGTGCTATTATAAACAAGAAAAGTTATAATCATAAAATTTTGAATTTAGATAAAGTAATAAACATTTTCCATTCTGGAAAAAAAAAAAGAAAAGAATGTCAAGAAGTGTGCAGAACTCATCTCCCAGCAGCTTCCTGTGTAGCACACCTCTATTTGCTCAAGTGAACTCAGTAACCCTCCCACCTTGATCATTATTCTGCTTAAAATAGTAGCATTATCTGGTCACACGGTGAAAGGCTTCAATCAGCGTAGACAACATTTTCACATATAATCAACAAATTATGAATTAAAACAACATGTAAAGAACTTAAATTATGTAACCACAACGAATTTCCCAGTTTTCTTTCCATCTTCCTCCCTTATCGATCAATTTCTTTTTAACTACTCCTGGCCTATAATGACACATTCAACAGTATCACAGACATTTGTTTTTCCTTCATTCAGCAACCCAAGGGTTCTTCAAATTTCCAGCAGTAAACATTTAAAAAACAAAGAATGTTAGCCAAACCTAATAATTACACAGTGAACAAATTAATCACTTCACATTCATTTCATGTTTATCTTTATCATACTTAAAGACAAGCAAATATACATCTTCCCAAACTACAGTTATTTTGTACATCAACATTTTGTTTTGGCATTACTAGGAAAGATTTATTGCCTCCTACATTCACAGCAGCATTATTCACAACAAACAAGCCATGGCACCAACCTAAATGCCCACTGACAGATGACCAGATAAACCAAACATGGAGTATTTACTCAGTGGAATACTATGCAGCTATTACTAAAGATGAAAGAGTGCCTTCTGGAACAAATTGATGTGTCAGGAGATGATTATGCTAAAGGAAGTAGGTCAGAAAATGAAAGACAGTTACAGGATGGCCTCATTCATTTGCATAATATAAGCAAGCAAGGAAAACAAACTGTCAAAACAAAGGATAATTCTTAGACTCCAAGAAAAAATATACTGGTTACCAAGGGGAAGGGTGGTGAGGATAAGAGAAAGGTGAGGGGAGATGGCAAGGCTTTGGCCCTGGAGCTTTGGTGGAGGGAGAGTGAATTATGTACACATGTAGAGGTGTGAAGATAAACCTCTAAAGTATATAGTTATGTAAATTAATGGCAAATCAATAAAATGTGGACTAAGTAAAGGATTTGGTTTGGGGTTCTCACCCACCTTACATTGTAAATGGTGGTCACATGTAGTCTGTAACTTGGTGATACATATAATCTTTTCAGAAAAAAATAACATCTGTGGCACAATAAAAGCCTTAGGACTTTCTATAATCTCTCAAATCTCTGTATTAACTATTCCTTATCTATTATAGTTCCACCGAAATCACCTACACAAACATTCCTTCCTGATGAATCAATCCAAAAGAGATCAGTTTGTCCTTGCTCAAAGCATTCTCTACCTTTCCTCATAGGGTTTTAACACAATCTCTAATTACATCTGTTTGTTTACTTGTTTAACGTCTGATTCCCAAACCAGACCTTACACTTTATGAGAACAAAGCTCAAGAATGTTTCATTCTCTGCTATGTGATCAGCAACAATCACAGACACAAATATGGCACTTAGAATTTGCTAAATGGATGACAAGATTAATCACAGTCCCTTTAGCAACACGGGCAAGATGAGACAAATAAGCTTCAAGTAACCAGCACTTGATTAAATAATCAACATCTTTAAGAAGAAAGCAGCTAAAGGCAAGGAAGACATCTGAAAACTCAGAAATAAATTCAGAATTTTAAAACCTTCCAAGACACAGAGAGTAAAAATGTTTGAAAACCTGCTTTAACAGATCTTTTTTTTTTTTTTAAAGATTTATTTATTTATTTATTTATTTATGCAACCACTGGGTACAGTAAGAGGTGCAGGAGGGTGAGAGAATTCACAAGAGCCAGAGCGGGGAGCAGAGCAGGCAGAAGGACCAAAGTACACTGCTGAGGGGAGCAGCGGGCAGCAGGAGAGGTCTGCGCGCCATGTGGGACCCTTGCCCAGCGGCCGGGGATCGAACCAGCGCTGCATAGACTGCGGGCAGCTTCGCAACCCAGCGCTCAACTGCTGTGCCACCGGGGAGGCCCTGCTTTAACAGATCTTAAAATAGTTTACTTGTAAACACTTGGACTCAAAGTTGACATCAGGATCTATATAGACAGTCAGGGGTCTGAGACACTGTCAGGGAATAACTATCTGTGTCCACGGAAAAATAAGAATGGGGAACGGAAGAGGTGACAGCTCATGGATGAAAGAGGCCACTATCTGACTAGCTACAGCACCCCTCTCAGGCACTAGCTTCAAGGGACACTCTATCCTTGGCATTCTGTGGACAACTAACCAAACTGGAGCCTATGAGTCTTAGCTCCTAAGATAGCTCCCAAATCATTTTCATTGTCTCAACTACAATGACTATTAGATGTGCTCAGCTCTTTTAACTAATTTGTTTGTGCAGTAACACTGGTTTGAACCACTGTATATGTGATAGGGACATGGGGTCACACCACATGCACCACCCAGACACCAGTAACTGGATGAGACTCACCAGTCCACTGGGGTCCTCTCCACCCTTTGCTCCCATCCTCACCCAACCCCTCTGCCAGCCTCAGTTCTGAAGTCAGAGTCCAATAATGTGTTTTGGTTTTGTTTTGCCTGTTCCTTTGCTTTGTTTCTTTACAATATACATATGAGTGAAAGCATCCAGTATTTGTCTTTTCCTGACTTATTTCACTTAGCATAATCCCTTCCACTTCCACCCATGTTGTCATAAATGGCAAGATTTCATCCTTGTCTATTGCCAAGAAGTATTCCACTGTGTTCCTATATACCACATCTTCTGTATCCACTCATCTGTTGTTGGGCACTTTCCACAACTTGACTAGTGTAAACAGTGCTGCAGTGAACACAGGAGTGTATATCTCCCTTTGAAATGGTGTTTCCACATCCTTCTAACAGTTACCTAGAAGTAGCTGGATCATATGGAAGATCTATGTTGAATATTTTGTAACTTGATATATAAAGATTACTGAATTTAATAATATATGGATTAATAATATATGGCTAACAAAATAATTTCCAGCCATATTAAAAGAAAATGAGACAGTGTTACATAATGTAGCAGCTTTAAAAACAATCAATCTATTAATGGAGAGAACCTTTATGCAATTCTACCATTAAAAGTACTTCTATAGGGGGCCTCCCTGGTGGCTCAACGGGTTAAGCACAGCCTCTGCAGCACGAGTTCAATCCCCAGCTGGCCAGGGAGCTACCACATGGTGCAGCAGACCTCTCCTATCTCGTCCGCTGTTCCCCTCAACAGTGTATTTCAGTAGATCTGCCTGTTCTGTTCTCCACTCTGTCTCTGGTGAATCCTCTCACCCCCTTTTGCCCCCCACCACACCTCTGGCCTGTACCCCAGTTCTTGTATGCATATTATTTTTTAAAAAGTACTTCTACTGTCATTCATTCAGCCAGTTGTCCCACCAAGTTTGCAGGTACCTAATCTGTGTACACTATGCTTTACTCATACTGTCTCCCTTCTCTTGACTTGTATTGGCTTGCTGGCTTTTCCAAATGCCATTTTCTATGTTTAGAGTACTTCCTGCCTACTCTTGACCTGGCTACTTCCTTCTTCTTGAGATTTCAACTTGCAAGTCATTCATTCCAAGATGTCATTCCTTAATACTATATGGATTTTTCAGGCTCCTTTGTTTGGTCCACTGCTCAATTTCTTGACTTACTGACACTTAGTAGATTTTGTAATTATGCATTTGCTTTGCTTCATGCACTTCCCACACTTATATTGAGATACTTGGGTGCAGAAACTATTTTTATCAATGTAAAACCAGCAACTTTCACAGTTCCTACTATATAAAAATGTGCTTAATATTTAGTGGATGAACAAATGAATGAATGTATTTCTCACTGAAAAATGCTTATTCAAATTTGTATTATTTATATAGAAAAAAATAAACACTACTAAAACACTACACCCTTAATTTCTTCTTCTGTTTTTCTCAAATACTAAGGA